ATTGAAGTGCTGGAGCAGGTCCAGAGAAGGGCAGTGAGGCTGGTGAAGGGACTCGAGCACAAGTGCCATGAGGAGAGGCTGAGGGAGCTGGGAGTGTTTAGCCTGGAGAAGAGGAGGCTCAGGGGAGACCTTATCACCCTCTACAACTGCCTGACAGGAGGTTGGAGTCAGGTGGGGATTGGTCTCTTCTCCCAGGCAACCAGCAGTAGGACAAGAGGGCACAGACTCAAGCTCTGCCAGGGGAGGTTTAGGTTGGATATTAGGAAGGGATTTTTTACAGAGAGAGTGATCAGGCATTGGAATGGGCTGCCTGGGGAGGTGGTGGATTCACCATCCCTGGAGGTTTTCAAGATGAGACTGGATGTGGCACTTAGTGCCATGGTCTAATAACAATGGGAGGGTTGGACTTGATGATCTTTGAGGTTTCTTCCAACCAGGTTGATTCTATGATTCTGTGAAATGCTGTCACCATTAAAAATACACCCAGAATAATTTCTCTTGTAAATAAGGCCATGGTTCTGTTTACTAAAGCAGATTAAGAAAGTCTTCACTAAAAACACTTGACTACAGAACTTTCTCTTCAAACACAAAATGAAGGCTGGCTTTGGGGGATGGGATGGTGAGAAGACACTTGTATAATTAGACACCATTTGATGTTTCTAAGAGCTGAGTTGGGTATGTTCTTAATGATGGTTTGTTTGAAGCTGGGGTGGGCCCACTATGTGTGTGCCAGGCTGAGTGTCCTACATAAGGCACTGAAAGTTGTTACAGATCCCTTATGGTCTTGTTTGTAGAATGATGCTGATATGTTTGCCTGTTTTAATGACTTTTTTTTTTTCCAGGCTGTGTGAACGTCTTGGAAATACTTTGCAAGTAGAACAGTTGTTTTTTCTTGTGAATAATACTGTTACAAATAATATTTTTGTTTTTAATAGACCCTTTATGGGCACCTTTGCCTTTTTTTCTGCTTTGTAGCTTGATCTGACTCTTCAGCGAGCTCCACTCTTTCATTGAAGTCAGCAAAATCAGCAGTTTATTCAGTTGTTAATTTAGCAATTTTGTCTGAAGAGCTGGCACGTTATGTTCATTTAACTGAAGTTTGCATTGATTTGAATTATGGAGTAAAAAGTAAACAGTTAATTTTCACTTTAGTAGGATGTTTTGGCAAACCTTTGCAAAGCAGGAGGGAGTAAAAATAGTGACAGAGAAAGAAAAACCCAAAAAGTGTGGTGCCTTTTTCAAGTAAATCATAGAATTGCTTTGGTTGGAAAAGACTTCTAAGATCATCATTAGCCCAGCACTGGCACATCCATTATTCAGCCATACCCCAAGTGCCACATCTGCATGTCTTTTAAATATCTCCAGGGATAATGACTCAAGCATTCCGTGGGCAACCTGTTCAGGGCTTGATAACTCTTTCAGTGAAGTTTTCCCTAATATCCAGTCTAAACCTCTCCTGGCACAAAATGAGGCTGTTTATTCTTGTCCTATAACTTGTTAACTGAGAGAAGAGACTGACCCTCAACCTTGCTACAGCTTCCTTGCAGGTAGCTGTAGAGAGTGGTTAGGTCTCCCCTGAGCCACCTTTTCTCTAAACTCTTCACTAGCTTTGCTCTTCCCTGGATTCACTGCAGCATCTCAGTGTCTTTCTTGCAGTGAGGGACCTAGAACTGGACACAGAACTCGAGGTGCAGCCAGCGCTGAGGACAGAGGGATGATTACTTCTATAGTCCTGCTGGCCACACAATTTCTAATATAAGCCAGGATGCCATTGGACTTGTTGGCCACGTGGGCACACTGCTGGCTCATGTTCAGCTGGCTGTTGATCAGGCTGCTTTTAAGGCACTCTTCCCTCAGCCTCAAGTGCAGCCTGGGATTGTTGTGACCCTAGGACAGGACCCAACACTTGGCCTTGTTGAACCTCATACTGTTGGCACTTGATTCTCTTGTCCAGACCATATCTTGTCTTTAAAAATATGGAACAGGACTGGCCCCAGCTGGGACTGCCAGCTGGATGTAACTCCATTCACCACCACTATTTGGGCTTTGCTCAGCCAGCCAGCGTGTATCCATCCAAGCCACGAGCAGACAGTTTCTCCAGGAGAATGCTGTGAGAAATGGTGCCTAGGGCTTTACTAAAATCTAGGAATACAACATAGGCAGCCTTTCCATCATCCTCCAAGCAGGGCACCCTGTCATACAAGAAGATGAGGTTGGTCAAACAGGATCTGCCTTTCCTAAACCTGTGCTGCTGGGCCTGATCCCTTGGTTGTCCAGTGCCATGTGATGGCACTCAAGATTACAAGCCAATTATTGTTAATGACACTCGACTGAAGCCAGTGGGTGAGTTTTCTTGTAATGTTCTTGCAGTTTTAGGGAA